GGATGCAACAGCAGAACGCCCCAGCCAGTGGCTTCGCCCACAAGGAGTTGCGATCTGCTCCTCTGGGATGTGCCTCTCTTCCTGGCGGCTGACCTCGGAAATTGAAGCACCAACAAGCAATTAACATTTGCAGACCATGACGCCAAGGGATGCAAATGGTTCACATAACTAGGCGTCACCCACGCTGTGCCCTCACATGTGCCAGAGCTAGGACTGAACCTGTGATTTTCATGAAGCCAGGGCCAGGGTATGACAACCTCAGGGCACGTGCCGCAGCAGCCCCAGCAGGTTGCAAGACGGGTAATTCCCCCTGAATGGCTTTCAAATTTGTCAAGTGCAACTCAATTAAGCTTGAGTGCTACCACCCCGGGGTTTCTGGTTGCAGTCCTCCCCGAACCTTCAGGGAGGAATAGGCCAGTTTAACAGGCCGCTTGCCAAAGCGCCCGCTGTGTGTTGCACCCCAAAGTCATTGGCAGCTGGGCATGGGGTGCCTGGACCAATCTGAGGTCAGCACGGCTGTCCCAAGCGGTGTGGGCGTCCCAAGCTCCTCGGCCACACAAGCGCAGGGCTTGCTGTGACGCGCCCGTCCCGCCCGGCTTGTTTCCTGGTCTGCTGATGCTGAGTTCGGACATGCTACCTTCAGCCAAGGGCCATTCAACAAGCAAGAACTGCAACTCGAGTTGCAGCAGGGCGCCCCATGGGCGTTCCTAACCCCCTTTTGCGTGGCTTTATGCAACAGCGGACTCATCGACGAATTTCGACCCCCAACCAATGAACCTGACAAATTCAAGGGGTCATTCCCTCAAACGGGACACTCTGATACATCAACATGAAGGTTTGTTCATACTGGAATCTCACTACCTCCCACGTCGGAGGACCCAGTGCTGCCATGCCGCCTGGTGCCGGATGAGCCTGCAGGTTGAGCTTAGAAATCAACACTCAAGGACTGCTGTTCTGTGCCTGCGGTCGCGCCTCTTCTCGCAAAACAAGCAACCAACTAGCTAGTTCTCAATATAGAAAGCCACATGCAAGTGGCACGTGGCAAACAAGGCGCTCCATTCGTACATGGTAATAGCCCTTGAAACACAGGACGGGATGCTTTGAGGTTCTGGCACGCGCAAGGCACGTGAAACTTCTAGTGGGGCTCTGCATGTCTGCAAATGTCTTAAACCTGACCAAGCATGACACATGTTACGGTTTTGCCTTGTCCTTCCTTACAACAGGGAACCCGCCCTGCCATCCAAACGTTCTGGTGCCGATTTCTGGTTGATTTTGTCCGCATCCAAACCATGTACAACACAAAGTGTATTTTGGCGCATGTCATGCGTTCACTCCACCTGGGAAGCGATCCTGGGCTTCAGAACATCAGCCACCAAAGGGCGGGACTACCCATCAAACGCCAAGCATACTCTAAAGCAACATCACAACCACTCAAACTAAACCGGCAAACCTTCTGCCGCTTTTTGTTTGCCTCGATCGTAGTTACCTCCTGTGTCTACCTCGGACAACGTTCAAATCCAGGACTTTTTCCAGCATCAGTTTAGTACGGTTCAAGTCCAGGACCTTTTCCACCATCGGCTTAGTACGGTTCAGATCCAGGACCTTTTCCACCATCGGCTTAGTACGGTTCAGATCCAGGACCTTTTCCAGCATCAGTTTCGTCAAGGGCAAGATGGAAACGATCCTAGCACTGCCCGCCTGAGCATTTGGCGCCCACTGCTGCAACAGCTGCTTCTGGACCGCCTCCAGCATCGCGGCGCGCGCCGGGGCCGGGAAGTGCCGCGGCACCTGAGCGAAACCCCGCAGCAAGCTTGAGAATCAACGTGCAACTTTCAGGGACCTTGCACCCGAACAGCCATCCAGCCCAACGCAGCCTGGAAGAAAAATACTAACTGGAACACTTTGAAGGGATGATTGATATTGATTCCATGGGTGCGAATCCCATTTAGAGGCTGAACACCTGGTTGCCCATTGACCCCGCTGCAGAACACTGCTGGGAAACCCACAGGGAAAGAGGGGCCATTGAACCACTTGGCCAAACTCCAAGCCCATCTCGCCTGCTGCTCTGCAGCCTGTGCTGCTTGCCATTCCAGCTCCGCCCAGGACATGGCGAAAAGCCGCGAAATCTGTGGCCCAGAGATTGGGGCAACTTCTTGGGAGTTTCGCTCACGCGGCCACAGGAAGGGGCCTTGTTTAGGTTGTTCAAGTAGAAGTTAGGAAACTAGGCTACAATTCAGAAACTGGGCTTTCGCACATGATCTTCAAGTCAGAAAAAGTATCGGTGAACTAGTGTTGCCCTGAGACAAGCTCCTTGTGTGTCGCGCAGAAAGGACTTGACCAGCTTCTTGGAGGTGTCAAGTGCACGTTCTTCTGCGCGCTTCACTTCCGAAAAGCACAAAACGTGTCCCAACCTCTCATCCCATGCGACTTGGTTGAGCCTTCGCTCAATATGAAGCCAACTTAGCCAAATTCCAAGTTTGCCTGGCTTTGCCCGCACTTGCCAGGAAAGGTTAGGATGGCCAAGGGGCTCCTGGATTAGCAAGTGCATCAAGCCGGAGGATCTGGGGCCGCAGAGATGTTCCTAACCCCTGCTGTTGGACTCCAAGGTTACACTCACAAAAATGAGGCGGGGGGCAGTGACGACGCCATGCACGGGTGGGAGGGGGCTGGGCGTGATCCCAGGATCTTGCGTTGCGGGTCGCTGCAGCCCTTCCGGTCGCTAGCTTTCGACGTGCGTCATTGAGTGACAAGCTCTGGGAGCTGCACAAGGGGGGGGGTTCTCTGCTGCTTCCCTACCCGCGAAATGCAAAATGAAGCTCCACGTAGCGTTTTGAGCCAGGCGAGGCAAAGCTGCGGCCGTGCCGCCCAGGATTCCCTACGTTGACCCGTTGGACACCACCCAAAAGGAAACTCAGCTACCCAAAGTCGATGGTCAAACCCACCAGAAGGGATAATATAAGGAACCCTGGAGCTTTGAGCCACTTTTTCAATGGACATTTGCTCTGGCACTCCGACTGGTAGCTACCAATAAACATAATCAAGTACTTAAAACAGCTGCACGGATGTGAACTTGTTGAAAGGGCCATGCTGAATCCACTGCCCAAAGCCGAGAAAAAAAGGAAGCATGATCAACTCGTCAGGGGTTGGGGTGACCAGTCAAGACGAGCCTGGGATGCAGCGATCAGCGTCACAGCATGGCCCCTCCAAACTGCTGGTCAGGGGAAATCGAAAGGGAACGGTGGTGGCCTCCTCAAAGTTTGCAGAATCCCAAGCTTTGAGGCCTGAAAAGGCCCGACATCAGGCATCTGAATGTCCCAATTGGATCCAGGCTCGAGCTTGTATTTTGACAAAGGGCCAAGCCTGGGAACCTGAGGCACCAAATGCGCCGGGGCCAGGACACATTCCGGCCTGTGCCGCCCACTGGCAAACTCACCTGCAAAAAAGCGCTTGCGTCCGTCCCCTCACCGAACCGATTGAGGACGCCCACAAAACGCACCACACACCTCACGAAGGATCTATTCAAAAAGGGATACACTCCAAATGGTGCCTGCATTCTGCACTCGTCAATCAAAGGATTTCAGGGCTTTCTGCTGGGTAGGGCTCACAGCCTTGCAACCCCTCGCTGGACGACTCACAGTACACTGGCAGGAATGGCTGAACCCCGGAACACATACTTGATGGATACAACAAATAACCCCTTACATAAGGCTTCAAATCAACAGGGTAGAATAAATTTCAAGCAAACGTAAGCATATCATTTTATGGAGCAATCCGGGGTTGGGCAGAGCTTCGGCAATCTCTGGGCCTGTGATAACATGTTGGGGAGGAGGCCTCTTTCACAAACACCTGTTGAGAAATTGCTAAAACCCATGTCGGGAAAGCTGTCCCAGGCTGAATTAATCCCACCCTGTCAACCATAACTGCCATGCGGGGTGCAGAAGGGTCCAAGGGTCACCCCGTGTTGTGGCTAATTCTTGCTGCCATGACCGATCCCGCAGGCCCAATGCCGTCTGCCTTTCAATCTCAGTGGGCCAACCACCATGGTCAAACATTTCTTTTTCAGCCACGCTGTGTCTTGTCGCATGCCATTTCAAAGAAAAAAAAGGAAGTCAGTGCCGGCTGATGGGGCTTTATCGATGTCGCAGCCTCCATGACTTCCCTCCCCAAGCCGCGCCTTGGGATTCAGCCAGGGCTTCAGCTTGGAGAAGACCGCCTTGAGGAAGTCCGCGAAGGACTTGGCGGGCTTCGAAGGTTCATGGCTTTTCAGCCGCCAAAGAAATGCAGTGGGTGTGTTGAGTGGGTCTACCATGGATCCATGGTATACAGAGACTTTTAACAAGACTCAGAACGGATGTTTGTTGATGTTTTTTAGTGCTTGTTCTTCTTCTTTTTTTGTTGGCGGGGGGGTTTGAGTTTTTTGGTGGTTGCCTCTAGAAGACCAACTGGAACAATGGGTCCGGTGGGATGACCACATTTAGACAATTTCTATCGATATACGAAAATATGTCATTCCATATCATCCCTGGAGGTATTTTGAGGGTGGAAACCTTCGCAAAAAGGGAGGGGGCTGCTCAAACCCGCCAGTTCTGGGCAAACAAAGGCAATTATCTTGATCGAGCGAGTGTTTTGGAACATGACCCAGGACCCAGGCGCCAAAACCCATGGAGCAACACATTTTACCACGCAACCTGGAGTGATGACTTTTGCAAGTTTCAGACAGGTAGTTTGGGCCCTGACACAAACAATCTGAATGACCCATGCTGGGAGTTGTGAGCCGGCTGGACTCCGGACGCTTGCAGCACCTGATTTGCCAGCCCGCATCTTGCGAGATCAGCTGTGAAACATGCAAAGGGCACAAAGGAACAAGGAACTGTCAGACGCTTGCTGCTCGCAAATAGTTCTTTCGCCGGTGACCAGATTGCTGGGCACATGTGCACTAATTCACAGGCTACCCACTTGCCCACAAGACTCAGTCAACCAAAATCACGAATCAACTGAGAAGAGCTGTCAAGGTTAAACCAAAACAAGCGTCGGGCCAGCCCCTGACGCAATTTGCCGAACAAACAACGATCGATAAAACCACCTTTTGGCTTCCCACTGAAGGGGGGCCTTGGCCTGATCATTCAAACATGTGGCCCCTGATTTTCCATGTGAGATGGGCGTTTGGGCAAGTGAGGGTCAATCAATCATCACATAGGTCGTAGCTGCAAATCTTCAAGCTCACTTGGGGTGCTGCAAGCTGTTTTGCCATCTCCGTGCAGTCCTCCTGGACAGCTCCGACCCGCTTACGATTGGTCTCACTTTTTGCTGCTAAAGGCTAAACATGCAAAACACGTGGCATCATGTTGCACAAGGAAATCAACCAAAACACACAACAGGTAAAAAAACGAGGAAGTCGTATCAGGCGGGGGGTTTGAGGGCAACCCAAAAAGACCAAATCGGTTCAACGTGCAAAGTCTGGCAAAGTGTCCTGGCCGTTGACCTGGATGATCCGGTCGTGAGCCTTCAGCTTGATGCCCTCCCGCTCGGTTTGCCGCATGATGGTGCCGTCTGGCTCCACGCGCTTCACGCAAATGCTGGCGGAGCTCTTGCCTCAGGAAACATCCCTGGTCGGGGAAGGACAGTCTCAGGACCTGATTTTCAGAGCAAGTCCCTTCAAAACCAGAAAGCGAACATAAACCAGGCAGGTGCCGGACTCTGCACTGACCTTTGGCAGGTGGCTAGAGGACAGCGACAGGCCCAGCTTCTCATCTTTTCCGCGGGTGACCTGGACCTTGTGCACCGTCGGGCGCTCGAAGACGAGTTCTAAGTCAGTGCTCGTTTGCGTGCTGATCAGAAGCTCCGACGCTTGCGGCGGTGATCGGCCGTTCACCTAAGCCAGAAGGACCTAGGGGAAACTCAGATCCTGAAATTCGATGGGATGGGTAGAGCCGAGCAAGGAATCAACGCCTGGAAGAGCTTACATATACTTGTCTGAATGATTCCCCGACCTGAGCAGGAAACCGCATACATACACATGTGTTGTTTTTTTTTTTTTGTGGGGGAGAGGGTGAACAAAACATGATGCTCGATCAACACTTGGCCCAAGCAATGCTCTTTCCAACAGTCATGGAGGTGGACAAGGAGTCTCCTTCAAGGAGGTCCCCAAAACGCAAACCACACCATACAGCTTTCATGGTTGTTGGAGGGAGGATAGCTGGTCGTTTTGATAACGAATTTCCATTCACAGCAGGTCCAACCGGGGCCTGCTTTTGCGAAGCCAAGGGTAAACTGGAGGTACGAACAGCCGGGCTGGACAAACAATAGAAAAACGCGGCCGCCTCCTCAACTCCAAGCGGTCCAACTGCGTGCGCCTTTTGTTTGTGGGGCACCCCTTTGACTTTGACTTTCAAGGGCAGACCAAGAAAAACCCACCATGTTGGGTCTCCCCCCGTAAACTTAACCAAAACGCGGGTTTCCCTATCAGATCGGCCCAAGAGCAACAAAAACCCGTCAAAAGATCCCGGCCCAGTGCCAAGGCTCGGCCACCAGGCGGTCGTGCCGTTGGATGCCCCAGCGGTGGGCGGAATTCCAGCGCTGCGCCAGGCCCTGCTGGATGCGGACCACCGCGCAGACCCGCTGGTCCACGGTGTCAAAGTCGATGCCCAAATTGGCGCTGGGAGAACGCCGGATCTTCACCAGGAATCTCGTTTACAAGGACGGCGGAGCGAAAACGAGGCGGTGTTTCGTCTTTAACGACCTCTATGAGGCAGAAGGGAATTAGATGAGGAATGGTCTCTTTCCTTTCTCTGACCTCTCTATGTGCTACCTTTACTGGGATTCTGGAGGTGGTGGGATATAGGTAAGAGATGGCAAGGACGGCGAAGCCGAAACCGAGAACGCACCGGTGTTTGTTCTTTAATGTTGCTGGAGTTTCAAGGGAAAACCCTGCAATTACTCCAACAAAAACGATGAACCTGCCAAATGTGAAACCAATCTTGGGGATCACGAAGTAAAGCCTTTGATCATGGTGAACTCGTTATACCAAGTAAGCTCGACCAACAAGTAGACAAACAAATGCAACATGATGCAATCCCTTGAAAGTAGACAGTGGTGAAACAAGATGAAT